ACGTCAGTTGAGTGCTGTCGCTCTGCGGCACTTGTTATATGAGGTATGTTTAGGACTAGGGTTAGGGTACACTTCTGTAGTACAAGTCTGGTACACTTTGTGTATACATATATGTACCTCGGGTACATATATGTAGTACCTGATACGACAACGACCCCTTCAGCTTCACTATCCCCTAGGCGTGGGATGTTACAGGTAACTCGCGATATGATCCGCATCGCGACACACCTTTCGTGATACGATAAGCATCGCGATGCTCTGGAAAGAAACTACGTAGCAAACTGTACACTCAACCGGAACCTTGCCGAACAGGTGAACGTTTAAGAGATCAGGGTATCGGGGAGCGCTTATAGTAAACACTGCGATTAAACTGCAAATTGTGTCACACTTCTATTGATTTCTGATGAAACTGTGCCACCAAATGATATGGATTTTATTCTGTAGAGTATTGATACGTGTATCGTGAATAATCAAACGTATCGATACATATTACGTATTGCGAATCATTGATATATCGATGAATTGTCCCCCTCCCCCCATCTATACCCAAGGTGCCTGCAACCTCCCAGCCTGAATCATCCTTCCTTTATCAACGCTTGATTCAAAAGCCTGTGCAGGACAGGGTCGAATTTGAATTTTTTCGGGATACAACAAATTAACAGCATACAAGCTACGCACGCAAAATCTATTGGTCCCATATTCAGTGTCTGCGCTTGTATCGCTTGCGACTGCGTCGCTATGTAGTTGCTAGGTTGATGCGTTACCTCTCACAAGACGTGATGCGGCCATGATGCCGAGGCGCGCCGAGGATTGACACTTTGTGTCTTCCAATCACAGCCTACGCCGCACCTCTCTGTTATAATTTCAAAGGTGGGGACCCATTGAGGTACGGAATCGCCGATCTCAAGAACTAGAGCATGCATTCTGCTAGGCTTACCGTCAAATTCTTACCTGATAAGATTGTTTCTCAACTAGTTAAAAATCCAAAAAACCTGGACTTGATATTATGTTCCTGACATTAATTCCTTGCTATGGGCTATGTATGAGTCACGAGTGTATGCACATTGAACAATATAGTAAAATAGGAAGTATAATACGGCAATTTAACCATAAAAAGTGAACAGAATCACTTGTATTTTGTGAAAAAGTGGAATTTTATTTTGTATTTTTAGCTCATCTGACATAGTCAGATGCAGCTTGTAGAATCGCTTGATCGTCCGTCCGTCCGACATAACATGCAGACTTTTACTAAAGGTGTTGAACAACAGTAGAGGGCGTCCATAGGTGGCAGGCCTGAATAAGCATCGAACAGAAATTAATTACAAATACTCACACTGTTACTGCACTTACAAAACATACACTTTATTCATGTTAAATAACTACAGATTCATGCTCTATGCTCCGCTCGAAACTTTGCCAGCTCTATGACACGAATTTCTGCAAAGTTGTCTGAACACATTTCATACACAAAAATCACCAGCCGGTCGCTGCGGCTACGCCACCTGACGGAATGTCACGAGTACACAACAAGACCAATTTTACTTCTAATGCTTTCTAGACGTCCACGAGGCATCTAACTTGCGTGCATAATGCAAATTATTGCACTCTATAGTGCTGAATTTCAGCGAAAAAAAATGCCAAAAAAGGCATTTTCTAGAGACGAAATAGTGCAACGGTGAACAATTGCGGAAGCTTACTGTTGTACACCTCCTAAAGGACTGCCAACCAAAAATGGCTGCATGTGGGGTGGCAGATATGATATTGTATAACCTGTAAGTTGTTTACAAACCTGTGTTTGTGTATAGATGATGTTAAGCTGATGTTTGAGGAAGGCCTACCATACGTGGAGAACACTGCTTATTCAACCAGACCCATCGTCCTGCACGGCAATGGACTATCGAAGGTAAACCACTGCACTCGCTCTGCATCTTGGAAATCTATTTGTTCTACTTCTCGTGTGATTTAAAAATTTAATATTTATTAATGTTATTTCTATTGTTGTCGTCATTATAATTATTATTATTATTATTATCGTCGTCGTCGTCGTCGTCATCTTCATCATTATGAGAACATTGACAAGAAATGGTGAAGGTTTAACCGATCACGATAAAGTCAGTCACGATTCGATACAAACTACACTAGCTGTAGACTAAGGAATTGGTTTTAATGATCATCTGATGCACAAACTGATCGTTCCGCGTTCAGTGTGGTTCATTGCTATTGTTGTGTTCTCCACGGATGCGCCCGTTCACCCCAGTGTTCCATGGTTCCTCGTTAATTGTTCACCCCAGCGTTCCATGGTTTCCTTGTTAATTGTTCACCCCAGTGTTCCATGGTTCTTCGTTAATTGTTCACCCCAGTGTTCCATGGTTCCTCGTTAATTGTTCACCCCAGTGTTCCATGGTTCCTCGTTAATTGTTCACCCCAGCGTTCCATGGTTCTTCGTTAATTGTTCACTCCAGCGTTCCATGGTTCCTCGTTAATTGTTTACCCCAGCGTTCCATGGTTCCTCGTTAATTGTTCACCCCAGCGTTCCATGGTTCCTCGTTAATTGTTCACCCCAGTGTTCCATGGTTCCTCGTTAATTGTTCACCCCAGTGTTCTATGGTTCTTCATTAATCGCAGTGTTCTTTCTCCCCCGACAGATGTACCTCTTGTTCCTGACTAACTACGTGCCAGCCATGTGGATGGTAAACCGTTCACCCCAGTGTTCCATAGTTCCTCATTCATCATTGTGTGGTTCCTCATTCACGATTGTGTGGTTCCTCATTCACCATTGTGTGGTTCCTCATTCACGATTGTGTGGTTCCTCATTCATCATTGTGTGGTTCCTCATTCATCATTGTGTGGTTCCTCATTCATCATTGTGTGGTTCCTCATTCACAGGGGGTATGATAGCAAGAGGTAATGTGTTGTCGCGCACGTGAGCGCAGCTGCGGTTTAATTGCAGTCGTAAATGAAGCGAGAAAATGAAGAACGCTCAGGAAGAAGCTCGCGGACAAGAAAACAAACGAAACGTCGACAAAAAACGACACAAAAAAAACGTCAAAATGAGAACGAAACCACGCGAACGAATCACGATTTGTGCATTCCTATTATAATTATAATACTAGCACCCCGTTATAAACGTCACCCCCACCTGGCACCCTCCCGGGTGTTTCTATCGTGACGTCATGACGCGTTGGCACTGTGCCAGAGAAGAAGCGTGCGTGCTTTTTAAGTGAAGCCAAGTGAAGCGATGGCTATGCACTTAAGACCTACGGTAGTACGTACGGGAGTAGTTGTCGGCACGCACGCCTCCGCCGCCGTGCATTGTGTTGTGCGGTGAAGGCTTAATACGAAACACGGTGGAAGGGGGAAGGGTGTCGGGAGGAGGAGAAGGAGGAGGTGGAAGAGGAGGAGGAGGAGGAGGAGGAAGAGGAGGAATATTTTCTACAGGCACGCGGCGCAACAGTAGTAGCAGCGACAGCTACAACAACAGCAGTAGCAGCATCACCACCACCAGGAGCAGCAGCAGCAGCAGTAGCAGCAGTAGCAGCAGCAGCAGTAGCAGCAGTAGCAGTAGCAGCAGCACCAGGAGCAGCAGCAGCAGTAGCAGCAGCAGCAGCAGTAGCAGTAGTGTAGAAAAGCCATCACATCAATGCATAAGTACGACGACACGCGGGTGCGGGGTTTTATCACGCGCCGATGAGACACTTTTGCAACCAATTTGTCGCATTCCTGGCTAACTATGTCCCGGGCATGTGGACGGTCAACAGGGGATGCAGCTGGTGTGATGACGACCTCATCAGACTCAACGACCGCGAGGTTAGTTGTTTTTGCTCGGGGCGCGGACGTTCTGTTGTTCGCGTCTAGTGAAGAACATCGTTGTTCATCATTGGATGGACGAAAGCATGTTCCGTTGTTTGCACTCTAGACTAACATGGTTCAGCGTCGGCGAATAGGCGAAAGCACGTTCCGTTGTTCGTGTCCGGCGACGAACGTCGTTCTTCGGCGTCGGTGACCATCGGTTGTTCGCGTTGTTCGCAGGAGTCGGCGTACCCGCTCGTCACGGTCGCGTTGTTCATCGAGAAGCCGACGCCATTCATGGAGGAACATCTGCAGTTGTTCACCAGTCAGTTCTACCCGAAGAAGAGGATCGACTTGTTCATCCACAGCGCGGTAAGTTCGCGGAACGGCCGTGTCGCCAAACCAGTCTTTACACGTCGTTCTTCGGCACGAATAATCAGCACAATAATCGTAATGTTAATGTTAATGTTTGCAATGGTGGGTACATGTTTCAGACGGTCATATGCAGATTGTGTCGTAAATTCGTTTTATCATTTCATTTTATTATCTTATTATAAAGACTTATCTTTGTGTCTAGCGCATTAATTTTCGCTACAATTGGGACGTGTTTCAGACATCGTACCATGTGTCGGACTTCGTTTCATTATCTTATTTTACTATCTTATTTCTAAGACCTGTCTTCGTATCCAGCATGGTAATTTTCTCTACGGTGGGCCACATGTTTTAGACGCCGTACCACGCGTCCCGCACATCGTTTCATTATCTGATTTTATTATCTTTAATAAGACTTACTGTTGTGTCCAGCGCATTAATTTTCGCTGCAATGCGCACGTGTTTCAGACGCGGTACCACGCGCAGCACATCGACACCTTCCTGACAGAGTTCAAGGACCAGTATCGCAGCATTCACCACATCAGCGCCAACAAGTCCGTCACCGAGTGGGTGGCGAGGAACGCCGGCATGTACGTGCTGCCCTCTGTCGGGGGTCGCCTCCGATGTTTTTACGTGGCGTTAGCTCAGACACGGGGATGTCCTACGTACTATCGTTTATGATACTAGATTTAATTTACTAGTGAGGATCTTGCTCGGTGGGCTACTACATTATATTTACTACAAATTGTACTATATTTCTCACACAACTACTTTTCTATATCTTGGAATAGAGTCATTAGATATTATGATATTTCTAATAGTAATTTTTTTTTAGCTGAATCTAACTAGATTGACCTGTTAACTGCAATAGTCGACAGCCAGGCCATAGTTTTGGCTGAACGAAGTTGCTTGTGCTTGTCACCAGATGGCAGTAGATGACTAGAACGGCAGTCTTCGCTAACCGGTCAATACATGCATATCAGAAGTAGATAATAGGGAAGGAGTGTGACTTCAATAAACAAGGGAAATTCGTCATTTACTAGCCTTAGAATGCCTACGATTTACTACACGTAACTCAATCAACTTGAGCTCAAATCGTACACAGTACATTCGCCTAGCATCGTGCGAAATCGTTTCTCGATGCTAGGCGAATGTACTGTGTACGATTTGAGCTCAAGTTGGTTGAGTTACGTGTAGTAAATCGTAGGTATTCTAAGGCTAGTAAATGACGAATTTCCCTTGTTTATTGAAGTCACACTCCTTCCCTATTATCTACTCCTGGTGCATATTCATCCGAATTCAAAATCACTTGTAACATTGTCGCCGATTAACATGGAATTTGTCTCTTGACGAAGGTTGAATGATTAATTTTTCTAATGAGTTTTTCGTCGACGCTGCGCGTTGCAGATTGTATTAATAATTTTTAACTTGATAATTATTTTTTGTTGATGCTGCAGAAGCCACTGTGTGGAGAAGGGCTGTGAATTCTACTTTGTTGTGGATAGTGAGGCCCAGCTGGTCAACCCCCGGGCCATACAGCTGCTGGTCGAACAGAACCTGTAAGCGCGTGTGTGTGTGTGTGTGCGTGCGTGCGTGTGTGCGTCGGTGTTTGTTTGAGTGTGTGTGCGTGCGTGCGTACGTGCGTGCGTGCGTGCATGCGTGCATGTATGTGTGTGCTTGATGCAGGCCAGTGCGTGTGTGCTACTGCTGTACCTATACTATATTATAATGTATGTGCGTGTGTGCGTGCGTGTATGTGTTGCTGCTGTAACTATACTATGATATAATATATGTACCTGCTGAGTCTATAATGTATGTATACGTGTGTGTGTGTCTTTTAGATGCAGGCCCGTGCGTGTGCGTGTGTGTATGCTGCTGCTGTAACTATACTATACTATATGATGTAATGTATGTGCATGTGTGTGTGATCCAGACTCGTGTGTGTATGTGTGTGTGTGTTTACTATATTATAATATATGTGTGTGTGTGCTGCTGCTGTACCTATACTATATTATAATATATGTGTGTGTGTGTTTACTATAATATCATGTATGTGTGTGTGTGCTGCTGCTGTATCTATACTATATTATAATATATGTGTGTGTGTGTGTTTGATGCAGACCCGTGCGTGTGTATGTGCTGCTACTGGAGTAACTATACTATAATATACCCTAGCCCTAACCCTAAAACATACCTCATATAAAAATATAAACATAATACTAAACAACCTAAAACTACCTCGGGTACATATACGTAGTACCTGATACGACAACGACCCTTCATGCGATAGTGAAGGACAAGAGGTGGGAGGAGGAGGAGGACAGGGAGGAGGAGGAGGACAGGGAGGAGGAGGACAGGGAGGAGGAGGAGGAGATAAGCACTTACTTCCTGCGGCTCTCCACCAGCTCGATGTAATCCTCGGAGCGTGCGTAGTAACCGTCCTCGGAAAGCGAGCCCCAGAAGTTAGACCACAGCTTCATCGGCCGCGTCAGCAGGGGAGCGAGCACGGGTCTGCATCAAACACACACACACGTATATAACCCTAACCCTAAAACACTTCTGTAGTACAAGTCTGGTACACTTTGTGTATACATATATACGTACCTCGGGTACATATATGTAGTACCTGATACGACAACGACCCCTTCAGCTTCACTATCCCCTAGGCGTGGGATGTTACAGGTAACTCCCGATATGATCCGCATCGCGACACACCTTTCGTGATACGATAAGCATCGCGGTGCTCTGGAAAGAAACTATGTAGCAAACTGTACACTCAACCGGAACCTTGTCGATCAGGTGAACGTTTAAATTGACTACGTCACAAATTTTTCATTGTAAAATTTGTAAAAA